CCATGTATTTGAGACATGAGACTTTCATCAAAAAAAACTTACTGCAAAATTTTTCCCAGTTTCCTGCTTTTCTTCTAATTTTGGCTGCATTGGCTTTGTTTGTACAAAAAAAAATTAATTTATGTAGTCAAAATCATCCATCTTACCTCCCATAAACCTCTCTATCTCTTGGTTTGTCATGAAGACTTCCTCTGTCCATAGATCTGATTTTTTTGTTCTCTTCCATGATGTATGCCTGACATAATAAAAACTAATGTTTATATGATAGTTTTAGGTTTGCAAAGCACTTTGTATAGACTTGCTCACTTGATCCTCACAACAATCCTGGAAGAGAGGTGCTATTATTATTACTATCATTCCTATTTTACATGTGAAAAAACTGAGACTGAAAAAGGTAAAGTAATTTGCCCTGAATAACAGAGCTAATAAGTATCTGAGGCTAGATTTGAACTTAGATCTTCCTACTTCCTCAGTCCAGTGTGCCAACCAGCCACCTCTACTCCATGCCTATGAGAAGCATATTAATTTGCTCAAATTCAGCATCTTCCCCAACAAGTGCCCCAGTCCCCATGCTCCATGGCCCAAGGTAGTTCTTGAATGACCTCATCAAGGAGAAACATAGTGGATCCACATTCTGGGCAGCTACTCATCTGTTTGAAAGATGCCTCAAAAAAGACTGAATTGAAGCTATTTAATAAATGGGACCAGGAATGATTAATCACATTTTACTGTCATTTGATAACTTGGCACCCAGGGAGTCACCTCATTTCTCCAATTCCCATAAATTTAATGGAGGTCACATCATGGACTATTGGACTGAAAACCATTGCCACCAAAAGCCCTGATGGTACTTTTATGTTCGCTGATGTGTAGACATAATTCTCTGCATCTTTGAGCCTCACACAGTATGTCTTTCTCAGGGAGACACTTGAGCAGATATATATGGTACCATGTACAAAGTTACAAGAGACGAACCCTCTGATTTATTCCTCTTACCTGTAACAAGATGATAGAAAATTTAAAACCAATGGGTGCTATTATATAGTATAGCACTTCTCTCCACCCCTGTTAGAGGAGGATAGAAAAGATATTTATTGAAACTGGAAGCTACTACTTATAAGACCCTTACTGTCTAGAAATTTCAGTCTGGGACTTAAAAATGGAATTTTAAAGACTCTTCACGAAGACCTGCAAGTGTTACATCGCATAGGTTTCATGTGTTCTCATTTGTTCCTAATACTTTCATCCATGCCATTCTTTTGAATTATGGAGATTTTCCTACATTTTCTTCATTTTAGATTTTTGACAAATTGTTCAAATTCCTGAAGTATTGGGTTTCTATCTCTTCCTACTTTATCTTCTATTTATGAAGAAAAAAAATATATGATTGATATATATGTATGTATTTATCTATATACCCACATGTACATATATGCATATGTTAGGAAAGCTATGACTGTCTCCTGACATATGCCTATTGAAATAAAGAGATACAGTGTGGTATAGTGAATAGAAAGCTGGATTTGGAGTCAGGATGATCCAGGTTCAAATCCTACCTCTGACACAAACTGACTATGTGACCCTAGACAAGTTATTTAAGCCCTCAGTACTGCTGGCAACTCTCTGAGATACTAAGTTCCAGAGAAGGGACCAACCTGCCCTGCTGCAGAGGGTGTTTCCTCAAGGAGTATTCTATACCATTGAAATCACAAGCCCAAATCCCTTACCTACCAGAGAAAGAGGGTAGCAAGCTAGAAGAAAAAAACTTCTGGATCAGTTCTTATAAATCATCCCATTATCTCTGAATGCCTTAGAGCTGTTGTTTCTTATAGTCAGTGGGTCAAGTCAATGAGCGTTTAATAAGCACCTATTATTTTCCAGGCACTGTATAGTAAGTGTTGTTGGTATGAAGAAAGTCAAAAGTCAATCCACAATGTCAGGGAGCTCATAGTCTAATGGGGGAGACAAGATGCAAATAACTTTGTACAAACAAAACATATCCATGATATTGGAGATAATCTATGGAAGGAAGACACTGGCATGAGGAGGGAGTCATGAAAGGCCTTGTTAGAATAAGTGGGATTTTGTCTGGGACTTGACAGAGTCCAGGAAAGACAGGATATAGACTGAGGAGGGAGAGAATTCTGGGAAGACAGGACAGCCAAGGAAAATGCCCAAAATCGGCAGAATGGTGTATCTTGTGTGAGGAACAGCAAGGTCATTGTTGCTGGATCTGAGCATATATAGAGGGGAGAGCAAGGTGTGAATACATTACAAATGGAGGAGGGGGCTGGGTTTGGAAGGGCTTTCAATGACTGAGGATTTTATATTTGATCCTAGATAGGGAGCCACTGGAGCTTATTGATCTGGACAGTGACATGATCAAAGATTACTTTGACAACCAAGCAGAAGCCAGACCAGAATAGAAACTCGAGTCGGGGAGGCCAGGGAGAGTACTGCAATAGTCAAGATGTGAGTTAATAGTCACTAAACATTTATTAAGTTTCTACTGTGTGCCAGTGAAGGAGATGGTTGGGCAGGTAGGAGGAGAACCAGGGGAGAGCAGTGTCATGAAAACCTAGAGAGAAGAAAGTATCAAGGAGAAAAGGATTACCTACAGTGTCTGTAGCTGCAGAAAGGTCAAGGAGGATGGAAACTGAGAAAAGATCCTTAGATTTGACTCTTAAAAAAGCATTGGTAACTTTGGAGAGAGTAGATTCAGGGGAATGATGAGGTTGGGAGCCAGAGAGGGAGGAGTGGAAATGAAGGACTGATTGTGGACTGCCTTCTTGAGGACTTTTGTAGCAAAAGAGAGGAGAGATAGAGAATGTCGGCTATTGGGGATGGATGGATCGAGTGAAGGTACTTTGAGGATAGAGAAGACATGGACGTTTGTAGGTCGTAGGAAACGAGCTGATACAGAGGGAGATATTGAAGATATGTGAGAGAGTGGGGATGAAAGAAGAAGCAAACTGCTAGAAAACACAAGATGAAATGGACTCACCTGTGCATGTAGAAGAGCTTGCTTCAGCAAGAGTACCACCTCTTCATGTGAGATAGGGGTAAAGGAGAATTTACTGACAGAAGGAATCCAAGTGATACAAGATGAAGAGGAGAGAAGGAGTTCTTATCGAATGCTCTCAATTTTTCAGTGAAATATAAATGAGATTCTGAGCTGAAAGGATGGAAGAAGGAGGAACTTTGGGAGGATGAGGAAGAATGAAAAGATTTGGTCACCATGGTGAGTGGGATAGTGAGTCAATGAGGTAAGTATATATGGATAGCCAGTGTATCAGTCTGCTTAATTTTCTACAGTCCCTTTGTCAGCATTAACTATATTCATCTCTTAACATCTTTGTCATTTTCCTGAGTACAAGGTGAAAATTCATGATAGTTGTGATAGAAAAATATCCATGGTGCCTATAATAGCATAAACTAAGACAACACTAAAAAAAATAGGTGAACTCAGATTAATGGTAACACTGGAACCACCTGACGAATCTTTAATTAAAAATGCTTCCCTCCTTTCAGTAGAAAGATGAGCAGTACCAGATCTCAAACTATATTATAAGGTAGTAATTATAGAACTATCTGGTACTGGCTAAGAAATAGAAAGGTGGATCAGTGGAACAGAGTAGACATACAATACACAGCAGTAAACAATTATAGTAACCTCGTGTTTGACAAAGATTTAAGTTTTTGGGATAAGAATGCATTATTTGGTAAGAAAAAAAATTGTGAAATTGGAAAGCAGTTTGACTTACTATGATAAGTTCAAAGTGGATACATGACTTGGATATAAAGAGATATATCATAAGAAGACTAGAAGAACATGGAATACATTACCTATCAGACTTATGGATAAGGGAAGACTATGAATAAGAAAGCATCGTGAGATCTAAAATGGATCGTTTTGATTAAACTAAAAAGGGTTTGTACAAATAAAACCCATGTAGCCAAGATTAGAAGGAAAGTGGAAAAGGGGGGGGGGCTTTATAGACAGTTTCTCAGATAAATTCTCATATCTGAAACATGTAGAGAACTTTGTCAATTTTATAAGAATATCAATCATTCCCCAATTGATAAGTGGTCAAAGGATATGAACAAGCATTAGAGAAATGCAAATTAAAACAACTTTGAGATATCATCTCACACCCATCAGATTGACTAAATTGATAGAAGAGGAAAATGACAAATGTTAGAGGGGATATGGAAAAATTGGGACACTAATACACTATTGATGGAACTGTGAACTGATCCAACTATTTTGGAGAGCAATCTGGAATTATGCCCAAAGAGTCATAAAACTGTGTATTCCCTTTGACCCAGCAATACTGCTCGCTATTGGGTCTATTTCCCAAAGTGATCAGGGAAAAAAGGAAAAGAACCTATAGCAGCTCTCTTTGTGGGAGCAATGAACTGAAAATTGAGGGGATGCCGAAGCAAGTTGTGGTACATGATTGGGGTGGAATATTATTTTGCCATAAGAAATGATGAGTTGGTTGGTTTTAGAAAAACTTAGAAAGACTTGCATGAAATGCTAAAAAGTGAAATGAGAAGAACCAAGAGAACGTAGTATACAGTAACAGCAATATCATTCAAAGAACAACCAACTTATTCTGAGTACTGTAAATACTCAGATCAACTGTAAAGGACCTATGAAGATGCTATCCACTTCCAGAGAAAGAACTGATAAATAGAAGTACCAATTGTATGGTTTCATATATATTTATAAATCTGTGTGAAATAGTGGCTTTCTGTAGTGCAGGGTAAGAAAGGAGGGAGGAAGACAGTTTGGAAATTAAAATGTGATTAAAAAAATATTTAATTAAATTATTTTTTTAAAAAAAGAACAATAAACACACTGGCTACAACTAAGTAAGAAAAAGACAGCATTCAAAAGCAATCAAATTATATTTTAAAAAGTGGTACCGTATTTTTAAAAATGGGGATACAGAATATTGGATACACTGTCCAGCATGTCCATTTAATTGGTTGGTTCTTGTTTTTCTCTTTTTATTTTTTGGGGTTTTTGTCATCGTTGTCGTTTCCCATCAGAGAGGGTTTGTGTGAGTGGCAAGGGTGCTTGGGAAATAACTGTAATGTAAAAAGCAAAAAAAAAAAGTTATCAATAGGACATTTTTAAAAGAAAAAAGCAACAGGATTAATCAAAATGTAACGTTAAACTTCTTAGTTTCTACTTTCGCTGTTATTTTGTGGGGTTTCTTATTGCCATAGGGAATTTGAAATCTAGCTACATCAGTGAGTCTGACACTTCTCTTAGACTTGGGGATTATTAGAAAAAGTGGATGGCCTATCTTAATAAGAGCATCAATAACCTGGTGATACAGAGGCAAAAATGCAATGATGTATGCCCTCAAGGAACTTACATTCTCTCTGGGGAAACTCTTTTGCATCTCTCAAATCCTGTGATTCTTTGAAATAGGACTTCCTCATGGTGGCCTGGATGGGGAATGTGTTGGAAACAGGATTTTTGCAGCACTAATGATTTTACTTTAGTTTACAGCTAGAAAATAGAAAACAAAAATCTTAGCTTATTTTTTTTCAATGTTTGTAAGACTTTGGTATAAAAACACTGATAAGTCTTCAGATCTACAAGAAATAAACACCAAATTATAACAAGAGAGTGAAAATCTACAGAGGGGATGTGGGAGAAGAATAATTTTCTTTAAAAGTCATTCAGTTGCTTATCAAAAAATTCTGGAAATCACAAAAAAAAACTATAATTTGACTTGGAAACAAAATTATTTGATTGGGAAACTGAATAACATGAATAATTTATCAAACTTTCTATTTTCTTTCCTAAGTAAAAAAAAACAAAACTGTATACCTTCAGGCATTTTTAAAATGAGAAATAACAAAAGGATATATGCCCTTTTCATCCAACTTCTACTAACCTAATTCATGTTCTGTATTCAAGTTTTCTGCTTAACTGTCCTTCTGTGGAGATCCACCAGAGATCATATAATGTCATTTCTTAAGAAACTGAAGGACTACCTGCCTCTCAGAAGTGTACCCTCATGCCCTTTTTTAAAATAAATTTTATTTTTAATTAACAGAAATCTATTTTTTCTCCCACTTCTCACATCATTAGAAAAAAAATACTTGTAACAAATATGCATAGTTCACCAAAAATAAAAATTCCTTTATTTGTTGTGTCCACATATATATATATATATATATATATATATATATATATATATATATATATATAAAATTCTGCACTGTGAATCTATCACTTCTCTGTTAGATGGTTAATGGCTTACTTCATCATTGCTTTGGGATCATGGAGAGTCATTGTGCCGATCAGAGTTCTTATAACTTGCAAATCCATGTTTTAACAGTGTTATTACTGTGTAAGTTATTCTCCTGGTTTTCCTCATTTCATTCTTTATCAGTTCACACAAGTCCTCAAATTGTTTGTTTTTATCATATTGATGTAAAAGTATACTGTTTTACTAATTCTGCTCACTTCAGCCTTCATCAATTCAGCCATGCTTTTCATGTTTCATTGAAATCACCTCTTTAATCATTTCTTACAGGAAAATAGTATTCCATCCTTTTTGTTCAATCTCTTTGGTGTGTAGGTTTAGCAGGGGTAGAGTTGGGTCAAAGGACCCATTTATATACTTTTAAAGTATCATTCAAAATTGCTTTTAGAATGGTTGGACTCATTCACTTCTGCCAACAGTGTGTCAATGTGCCCTGTTTTCCCACAACCCCTCCAGCAATTCTCATTTTTCCTGTTTGCCATCTTTGCCAATCTGATAAATGAGCATGTGGTGGAAACTCAAAACTGCTTTAATTTGAATTTCTCTAACTACTGGTGATTTGGAGTATTTTCATATGACAATAATATTCATAAGATCATAGATCTAGAAACAATTGGAGAGCCCAGCTAATCTGACTTCCTTCCTCCCATCTCATTTTACAGGCAAAGAAAATACATACACACACACACACACACACACACACACACATACATGTTGTTCAGTTGGTTTTCAGTTGTGTCTGACTCTTCATGATCCCATTTGGGGTTTTCTTGAAAAAGATATTAGAGTGGTTCGCCGTTTTCTTCTCCAGCTCATTTTACAGATGAGGAAATTGAGACAAACAGGATTAAGTGACTTGCCCAGGGCCATACAGCTAGTAAGTGTCTGAGGCCAGATTTGAACTCAGGAAGATGAATCTTCCTGACTCCAGGCCTGGCACTCTATGCACCATGGCGCCACCTAGCTGCTCCTCACCCCACATACACACCCCTCCAATGTATCTATTTATCTGTTTAACCAGAGTATTTGTTACTTGCCCAACCTCATGCAGATAGTGACTCTCAAAGGTGAAATTTGACCCCAAGGCTCTGAATTCAGAACTAATGCTCTATCCGTTGTACCACATTGCTCCTCGAGAAACATTTGTGTGATTTTTTTTCCCTTTAGAATGAATGGAAGGACCCTAGACTTTAAGTCAGAAGAATTGGGAGTGAAACATGGTTCAGATGCTTGCAGGGCACAGGGCTCTGAACAGGTTAGCTTGTTAATGTCTCTCAGACTCACTTTGCTCATCTTTGAAGTGGGGATAACAAAAACCTCACGGCAATGATTCCAGGAGACTGTTAGAAATGAGAGCCAGTGTCCTGTACTCCTTGGCTACTTTTTCTGCAGCTGCTTTAGTCTGTAGCTCTCAGTAACCTATAAAATCCCTTTGTTTGGCAGCTTTTCAAAAGCAGGGTGCATAAAGCTATTTTGTGATACTTTGAGTTACTCAAGTGAAAAATAATGACCACAATCGACACTTTTGTGGTGCTCCCAAGCTGGAAAAATGATGCACGTAAGTCATCTAATTTGAGCCTCGCAAAAGCCTTGTGAAAGCAGGTACCATAGAGATTATCATCCCCACTCTGCAGATGAGGAAACTGAGGCTCAGACAGGTAGGGTCACTTTTCTTAGGACCAGTCAGCCAGCAAGTGTTAGGTACAGGATTTGAACCTGGTGTTTCCAGTGGAAAAACTGCTAGATTTGGACTCAGAGGACCTGGGTTCCAATCCCAGCTCTGCCACTTACAACCTGCATGAATTTAGACAGTCACTAAACTCTTTGGTCCTCAGTTTCCACATCTGTAAAATAAGGAAGTTAGACTTGATGATCTCTAAGGGCCTTTCCAGTTTCAACAACATGAACATGTAACCCTGCCATGATGGCAAGGTAGGATGATTCTCAGTTTTTAAGAACAATTCAATAAATATTTATTAATAAAGTGCCTACTGTGTTCCAGGTACTGAGCTAAGCACTTAGGATACAAAGAAAGGCAAAAGATAGTTCCTGCCCTGAAGGAGCTTATACTCTAATGGCGGGGTGAGGACAACATTCACACAGCACATATATACAAGGCAAGCTATATACAGGATAAATAGGAAATAATTAACAGAGAGAAGTAATAGAACTAAGAAAGGTTGGAGAAGGCTTCCTGTATAAGATGGGATTTTAGTTGAGACTTAAAGGGGTCAATAATCAGAGCAGAGAAGGCAGAGCATTCCAGGCATGAGGGACAGCCAGAGAGAATGCCCGAGCTGAGAGCTGGACTGTCTTGTGCATGCAACAGCCAGGAGGCTGGTGTCACTGGATGAAGGACTGTGAGGTAGCAGGATGAAAGGCATAAGAAGACTGGAAAGGTAGGAGGATGGGGCTAGATTATGAAGGGCTTATGAAGAAGATGAGCTGACAAAGTAGTTTCCCATAATACATCTATTTGTTTATGAAAATCCTAATTTATGAAGCAAAATGACTATTGAAATTCTGTTTTGAGGCTTTATTTTCTGCCAGGACAAATTACACCACCATGAAATAGCCTTATTTGTATTTCTCATTAAGCAGTGTTCTTGAAATTGATGTACAGTTCACACAAAGAATAACCCTACCTTCTGGCTGGAATAATCAAATTAGCCCCTTCTTATCATGCGTTTTTCTTTTAAATTCAGATTCTTTTTCAAGCTCTGTCTGTTCTATTAGGGAGTATAAAAACATGACAAGAACCCAACTGGGCACTTGCATCCTGTCCAAAATCAGGCTACCCTTTTGTTTTTGCTTCTGTGATTTCTCCCCCTAAAATCTCTGTATGTCCCTCTAGACTCCAAAACTACAGATTTCTGGCCTCATCAATGTGGCATTTTCTCAAATGATCAAATGAGATATTTATATAGTGCTTAGCATCTTGCCTGGCTCATAGTAAGCATTCTATAAATGCTTGTTTCTCCAATGAGGCAGAGCAAGATCCACTCATACCTTCCAGTCCTGCGTGAAGCTTATCCATGTTCTCCCATCACTTAGCTCTGGCAGGGAGTGGGAGAGGTGGATGACCCAATGTGCTGGGAGCCTTCCCCAAGCCCTCTTGACATCACCAAGATAGCTATGGAGATCCTTTGCTGTCAGTGACACCTCCACCAGAAAGTCTTTCCTGATCCTCCTAGTCACTACTATTTTCTCACTATCCAAATTATCCTGTGTATCTTTATCTGTTTACATGTTGTATCCCACCCCACCTTCCAAGTAGAATATAAGCATCTTGAGGTCAGAACCTGGTTCAAGATTTGTCTTTATGTCTCTTGCCCCTAGCACGGTGCCTTGTGTGTGGTCTTTAACAAAGTACTTAACAAACTTAATTGACTTACTAATAACTTAATAAAGGACTTAATAAATGCTTGTTGGATTGGACTATAGATATAATAATGTAATATAATGTAATGTAATATGATATGATATAATGTAATATAATATAATATAATCAATATAATATAGTATAACACAATACAATATAATACAATATAATTGATATAATACAATATAATATAATCATATAATATAATACAATATAATACAATATAATATAATATAATAAATATAATATAATATAATAAATTAATATAATATAATACAATATAATACAATATAATACAATGTAATATAACGTAATGTAACGTAATGTAACGTAATGTAACGTAACGTAACGTAACGTAACGTAACATAACATAACATAACATAACATAACATAACATAACATAACATAATATAATATAATAAATATATATAATATAATATAATATAATATAATATAATATAATATAATATAATATAATATAATATAATAAATATAATATTGGAATATATTGCTTTATAGAGCAGATATTTAACAAACTTTTCTTGAGGTTAATTTACATCTCGTTTGGCAAGCAACTATATAGATGAAGGATACCAGTTTGGGAAAGGTAATTCCACTGTAGAAGAAAGGAATATTTCAATGCCTTTTCAGATTACATCAACTTCAAGTGGTAGACACTGAGGGGCTATGCACAGAATTCCCTTTTTTGATGTCATTCTGTTAATATGCCTGTTTCTGCATTTGTATCTTATCAGTTTAAGAGACTGGTATGTAGGCTTTCCATTGGCTGGTCATGTTGCATGTAGCTGTGTTACTACTACGGGTCCTTGAGGTCAGAGGGGGTCTCATTTCTGTCCTTATCTGCACATTCCCTAGCATAGTAAGTTAAGTTCGTGTCAGTGCTTAGAAATAACTAACATTTACACAGAGCTTTAAGATTTGCTAAATAATACTTACTGAATTTCATTAAATGGCATAGTCCTTTTTATAGGGTTTGATTGGAGACTTAATATGGCATACTTTTTGGACTTTTACTGTGATCAGTATGCTGGAGAGTAGAGTTGGCTGATGTTTGTTTTATGGGTGTGCACTACCTTGTAGTAGAATGGTATCTTTACCAGATATGGCCTCTGCTAGGACATGCCTTTGTCCAAATCATAAAATCACAGAATTCCAGAATTGAAAGACACTCAGCAGCCACTTAGAACACATAAGTGAAAAAAAAAAGAATCCCCCCTGAGACATACCCAATGGTGGTCATCTATTCTCTGTTTAAAAACCACGAGAGATTGGGTCTCCAGTGGGTTCCTAAGAAACAAACTTTGTTGGGATGTTTATCCTTACACCAAGACTTAATCCTTGTATCTCTGACCTCTGCTCCTCATTCACTTACATTCCTGCCATCTACTTCACACACACACACACACACACACACACACACACACACACACACCACACACCACACACACCGACATTAGAATTAACTCCCTAAGGGAAGGAACTATTTAGGTTTCTTTGTCTTTCTTTTTTTTATCCCAATACCTTGCACATAGTAGGAGCTAATTTTGTCTTCCAAATGAAGTAACTTTGAGTACTTTGACTTCCATGCAATTCAGTGGTGTCTCATAAAGATACATGCTCTCTTCACCTTAATAAACTCAGTAGAGGCTTAATAAATATTTGTTGAATTGAATTGAACCCTTCCACAACTGCTCCTTGTTTTGGTCTCTAGGGCCAATCAGAAGAAGTCTTCTCCTTCTTCCAAAGGAAAATCCTTCAAATACTTGGAGACAGCCATTGTGGCCTCCACTATCTCATGTCCTCTTCTCCTGCTTGATATCCCCAGTTTCTTCAAGTGACCACCAATTGGCATGAACTCCTAATTGTCCTTTTGCTGCCTATTCTCCATCTTATCAATATCGTTCCTAGAATATGGTTTCCAGAACTTAACACAGCACTGTGTGTGTGATATGACCAGGGTGCAATGCAGCGGAGCTGTTGCCTCTTTATTCCTGGATGCTATTCCTCTCTTAATTCAGCCTGAGACAACATTAGTTTTCTTGGTGACCATATCACACCAAGATCTGCATTTTGTCATCCATTTTTGCTCTAATTCAACATCACATTTGTTCTTGAAACACCCAGGTCAAGAAATGATGTGATATATTAGAAAATCAGCCAAAATCTTCCTTTCTTTCACCAAGCTTGATCTATAAGCCAGACTTCCCACAAATATTGATTCTAGCTAGTCTCCAGTTTGTCTGTTGACCCATTTTAACACGATGTTAAAAAAACTAGGGTTCTCTTTCACTACTGGGCTGCAGTTCATATGCAGGGAGTTTTCTCTTCCATGAGATGAGATTGATCATTTATATTCCTTTCCTGCCCTTGAAACTCTCGGCTTTACACCAAGATTGCCAATGTAGGAAGATCATCCATTTATTCTCCACTTTCTCGAGGTATGCTCAGACAGAGCCTCTATTATTATTAAGGCTGAAGGCCTACTTACTCTTAATGTGAACAATCGGAGCTCTCTGACAAAGCACTTACTCCCTTAAAGGCCTAAGCATACATCAGAGGCACTGGTCCCTGATGGAAGGGTGTTTGCAGACACTTGAGCATCTCACAGTAAAATGAGTTCTGGGCAAGGAGAGCTTATTATGATGGATGTGTCTTTAGGAGATGACACTGAGTTGCGTAGGAGTCAAAAGATTCAAAGTTACTTGTTTCATTTAGAAGATAGAATTATTTTAATTAGGCTTAGAAATTTTTTAACTCAGTAATAAAAAAAATTAAAATAAAGCATGTTCCATCGTTATTCCTCTGGACTTCTTCAACAGAAGATTTGAAGTATGATTGCACCCCCAAAGTGCCTTTTGGGGGAAACAGATAGGACTATCCAATTGCAGCATTCACTACAGTGATTGGTGATCAGAGCTTTCAGGTGGCCCTCACAACACAGTACATGGACCAATGGGGCCTGGAGGTTACTCCAGCCATGTCCCCCTATTCCTAGATGGCCCTAATGACACTACGCCCCAAGAGATAAGCTGAGGTTTTGTGTTAGGATCAGTAAGGGAGTCAATAAGAGTTACCTGCCTCAGAATGTTAGATACTTAGAGGATTCCAGCAGTGTGTTGCCGAGGAAAACATGATAGATTTGGAGTCAAAGGATCTGGATGCAAATCCTGACTTTGCTTCTATCTTTGTTGTTGTTGAATCATTTTCAGTCATGTCTGACTCTTTGTCACCCCATTTGGTATTCTCTGAGTGGTTTGCCATTTCCTTCTCCGGCTCATTTTTCAGATATGGAAACTGAGGAAAACGGGATTAAGCGACTCGTCCAGGGTCACACAGCTACTAAGTATCTGAGACTAGATTTGAACTCATGAAGTTGAGTCTTCCTGACTCCAGGCCTGGTACTCTATCCACGGCACTCTATCCACTGCCCTTACCTTTGGTATACATATTTTTAAAATCTAAACTGTTTCATGAGTTCTCTGTTCGTATACATAAGTATTTTAGGCATCTCTTGGTTTTTCCTCCTCATAGGAGTTATTTCCTTATTTTCTTCAGAATTTCGTTCTTGGTTAAAAGGGGGGATCTGTATGCACCAAAATATTGATAGCAGTGATTTTTGTAGTAGCAAAGTCCTGGCAGGAAAAGGTAGATTTCCATTGATTGTGAAATCTGAATCTAAGCAAACTGGTATGTGAATGGAATAAAATCTTACTCTACTGTAAGATTGAGAGGTGGCATGGGCAGACTTACATGAACTGACACAAAGTGAACATAGTACCTACAATGACCACAACAATATGTATCAAAGTAACGACACTTGAAACTGAATTCTGTGAAATTACAATGATCGAACATGGCCCCAAAGGGAGATAGGTTGGAGGCATCTCTTTTTCCATTCTTTGCTGAGTTAGGGGACAGTGAGTGTAGAATACTATATGTCAAGTCAGACTTTTTCCAAATGGTATTTGATTTGGCCGGACCATTTTTTTTCTCTTTCTTATTCTTTGTTATAGAGAACTCTTGGAACTGGGAGGGATATATTGGGAAACGTACATGATATAAAAACAAAACATGTCATTTTAAAAAATAATCATAATAATTCTTGAGAATTTCCTATCCATCCTGAGCTCACTCACCTTAAAAAATGGTAGAGCACTGGATCGTCTGAACCCTTCGAAATCTGTTCTTTCCCAGTCTAGACCAAATGTCGGACTGTAACTGGTTTTCTTCTTCTCTATTACAAACTCTTGGAGAAAGTGAACTCAGGTAGAAAGAGACTCCCTTCATACTGTACTGAATTCCAACAGAAAGGATTACATCTAGGTGCCACCTCCGATACTTAGAGACAAGTCATTGAACTCAGTGCCTCAGGCAATTCTCTGACACTAAAATGCATTCCAGGTGCCACTGGGCCTTGGCAGAGGAAATTTCCTCACTGGGAGTTTCCTATGCCCATGAAATCACAAGCTCTTACTTACCTTCTGTGGGCCTCAGTTTCTCTCTCTGTAAGATGAAGGGGTTAGGCTAGATGTTATCCCAGGACTAGAGTCCCCCTGTCCTCTGAGGCTTTCTTCTTTATCACTTTTTTCTGGCCCTCATCTATGTTCCTCCCTGTGCAACTGTTTCCACTCAGCATCCCTGCTGTGTTCTGATTTATTTTATCTAGAAAACATCTGAGAACAATTAAGGCTGTGTGAATGTGCTGATTTGTTTTTGCTTGACTGCACTTAGGTGTCATGAGGGAGGGTTCTATGGGGGAAGAGGGAGTTATTATGAAATGGTAGTGATGAAATAAAAGAGAGAGGAGCATCCATGAGGAGAGGAGAGGAAAGAGAGAGAGAGAGAGAGAGAGAGAGAGAGAGAGAGAGAGAGAGAGAGAATGAAGAGAGGAGAGGAGAAAGAGGAAAAAAAGAAAGAGAAAGAGGAGAGAGGGAGAAGAGAGAAAGAGAAATTGATGAAGGGAAGAAGAGAGAAGAGAGTGGAGAGAAAAGGCGAGAAGGGGAAGAGAGAAAGAGATGAAGGGAGGGAAAAGAATGGAAGGGGAAGGGGGAGAGAGAGAGAGAGAGAGAGAGAGAGAGAGAGAGAGAGAGAGAGAAGGAGGGAGGAAAAGAGGTAGGAAGGGAGGGGGAGAAAGAGAGAGAGCACTGGATTTGGACTTAGTAAACTTGAGTTCAAGCCCTAGCCATATTACTGTGTGACTTTGAGCAAAGCATTAACCTCTTCAGATCTCAGTTGCCTCCTCTGAAAAAGAGATAATAATATTTGTCCTGACTACATGACATAGTTGTTGTGAAGAAATTACTTTGTAAACTAGAAACCACAATATAAGTGTGAAGTGCTATTATTTTGCAATTTCTAACATTGTACTGGGGGTAAGAGAAGAAGGGCAACAGAGATTAGCTAGGTTAAGGAGATGGTTATCAATTTCTCATCAATTGAGTGCAGGAAGGATGTATCCATGTCCCAAACTATAGAGTTTCAATATAGGTATGAGATTTCATATGACTTAAATATTTGAAGATGTAGTCAGTGCTCATGGCTGGGCCATGCCAGAGTAATAAAAATGATAATGCTACCTAAATTAAGTTAGGGATTTAATGTCATAACAGCCAGACTACCAAGAGGATACTTTATAATGTCTTAGCATGTAGCCTAGTTCTTGGCACACAGTAAGTGCTTAATAAATACTTGTTGACCTATTGAGCTCATAGAGCTAGACCAAATAATTACTACTTGGGGTAAAAAATAAATGGTCATTGGAACATAGATTTCAGGCTGGAAGAAACCTTAGAGGTCACTGAACCTAATCCTTACAATTTCACAAATGAGGAAGCTGAGGCTGAGAGAGGTCAGCTGAATTCCCAGGGTTAGAAACTAATAAGTGCCTGAAATAGAATTTTCCTGACTGTAAACACATGCTCTATCCACTTTTCCACCTAGCTCCTTTAAGGTTTCAGTGGAAATAATTAAAACAAATGGTGACAAAATGCAAATAACAGCAATTCCAGACCTCAGCTCATATTATAAAGCAATACTCACAAAAACCACTTGTAACTTGCTAAAAATTTGTGAAGTAAATCATTGGAAAAGATTAAAGAAGGAAGAACCTCAAACAAAGACTGAAAGACCTGGAATGTCCTGATTGGTGGATGCTAGACCCACTCTGTGTCCAGGCAGGATCCATCCATTCTCCACTTGACTCCTTGGCCATTTATACACTTAGCGAGCCCTCCAACACACACCTACACATCCCAAGCCTGGAACCCTAAATCAGTACTGCCACTGCTACTAGAAAGGGTGTGTCGGTGTGTCAATCTATTCCTTATGGTTTCAATCACCCTCTTCATTTTTGTACCTCTATCCCCAGATTAGCCCAGTTCTTAGTACATAATAAGTATTTTATGAATGTTTTTCATCCATCCATCCATCCATCCATCCATTATGAGTAGTCCCTCCAGTAGACAAAGGTCCAAAACCTCTCTACCCCTTCTCCTCATGCAGAGTGTCTGTCCTTGCCCTCCCATAAATCATCCCTAGTTAGTCCCCTGGAGACTTTCCTCTAGTTCAGCAGTTCTTAACCTGGAGTTGCCTCTTTATTTTTCACTAATCTTTAACTGTAACTTAGCATTTCTTCCAGTCATTTAAAAGTATTATTCTAAAAAGGGATCCATAGGCTTCACTTGACTGCCCAAAGGGCAGTTTTAATACAAACAAAAAAGGGTTAAGAACACCCTCCTTAGGTGTTTGTACATTGCCTGGTGTATGAGCATCTCATCCCATAAAATCAGCTGCTCAGAGCATGAGCAGGTATTAGAACAAATCAAATCTCAATACTAAAGAAGATAAAATGGATCTGCATCCTAGCCAAGGCTTCTTTTCAGCTTCTACTTAAACAAAATATTAGATGGATCTTGAATGAGCTAAATTCATGACTTCCTGAAAGAGGAGGGAAAAAGAAAAGTCCCCGTCTCCCTGCAGATTACCCTCCTTCATCATCTCCACACTCAGAGCACACCGAGGCAGCAGCTGACCCAGTGTTGAGGTGTTGACAGAAGGAGCCCCTGTCCTCAAGCCCAGGGCTGCGTGTTGGAGTCATCCTCCAGCATGCCAACAGACAATAGTAAATGCACCTTTCCAGCTGGTAAATTCACTTACCTATGCAGGAGTGTATTTTGCTGGTCATTCATTCTAGGAGCCCATCAATGTGCATTTCTACTTACAGAAACACAGCATCTCAGAGGTGGAAAGGATCTTGGACATTTCTAATCCAATTCATATGTGAACACTATTCTCGCTTACCTCCACGCCAAGTAGTTGTCCAGGCTTTGCTTAAAGATCTTTACTGAGGGTTAACCCCACTAACACCCAAGTCAACCCAATCCACTTTTGGACAGCTCTAATTTGGGGGAAGATCTTCCTTAGAGCAAATCTAAATTTGCCTCAGAACTAGTCATTCTACAATAGGCCATGTGGAAACTATGAGAGGCCATGGTGCCTTTTTTTTTTTTTGCATTGGCAATATTGTCTTTATTGATTTTTTTTTATTTCACTTTCATTTCTTAATAGCTCCCTGCCTGACTCACCACTCAGTGGCCAATCCCTTGTAACAGAGAGGAAAAAAAAAAAAAAAACAAAAACAAACAACCCATCAGTTGCCTCTAAAACTCTATACATATACCTCATTAGTGATTATCAGTTCTGGCTACTTTCTCTGGCTGTCCTGGAATGTTGTCCTCAAATCTGATTACTGATTTCCTTGGCTACTTATAAGTCCCAACTAAAATACCACCTTCTACAGGAAGCCTTCCCCAACCCCTCTTAACTCCAGTGCCTTCTCTCTTTTAAATATTTTCTATTTATTCTGTGTATAATTTGTTTTGTATAGTTTTTGCATATTGTCTCTCCCATTAGATTGTAAGCTCCTTGCAAGCAGAGACTGTCTTTTGCCAGTCCCAACATTTAGCACAGTGCTTAGCATATAGCAGGTGCTTAATAATTGATTGATTGATTGATTTCATATTATATAAAACTGTGTTGTCTCAATAGAGTGTTTATCCATATCTTAGAGTCCTTTTGATTTGTTTTTGTTTTTGTTTTTGTTTTTAAGAAAAATGTTCCAACTCATGGCCCATTTCCATATGGAAGTGGGCTGGCCCTTTGTCCAGGCCAGAGGCTCTCAGACTTTTACAACAGAATAAATGTTATACCTGCTATCTAATGTACAAACAGCTCTTCCTTTTACTGACAGCATGGGTCCACGTCCAATGATTCACACAAAAATTAATAACATTCTCGCTATTTCCACTTAAGCTGGTATTTCATATACACAGTCATGTGGATATGTTAACTGCCCATTTATTTAGCTTCTCCAAGTTCTACTCCTGTGTTAAATTAACAGTGTACCTGGAGATTATTAGTTCAGCCTTTAAATAGAAATGTTTTCACTGAATTGCAACTTAATATCATTTCCACAACATACCTGATAACAGTGCTGTTGTTTGTAAACTACAACTGAAGATTTTATCGCTTTTTGCCTCCCTCCTTCCTACGAAAAAAACCAAACACATTTTATTTCTTCATTTGGAATATACTTACATGTGTACATGTCTCTTTTGATAGAGTGTATGCTTATTGAGGACAGGGATTGTTTTGTTCTTGACTATGGATCACTAAGGCATCCCGTGGTGCCTGACACAGAGACTCTTGATAAATGTTTATGGATTGATTGGTTGATTGATTTCACCCTATGTTTTTTAGATAATTACTCCCATGATAAATTCCTCCTTGGATGCATTTCCTGGGGAAAGTTTGTCTCTGCAAATTTAATTCTGTTCAATTCAGCAAGCATTTATGAAACACTTTTTATGTGCCAGGCATAGTGCTGGACACTGGAGAGAAAAAGAATTAATCTAGTCCCTGCCCACAGTGAGCTTACATTCTACAGATGAAATTCTTTGTTTTTGTTGCTTTGGTTTGAGTTTTTGCTATGGTTACCCTAGGAAATGAAGAAAAATGTAAAATGTGCTTTCCTTTTCATATTAACTTCTAGGAAACTCAGCTAAATTCATTGTCTAAATATAATAACAATCTCATCTCAAGTGCCTCTTAATATTTTTTTTCTCTGCCTCTTTTAACTGATTTTTCTTTGATTTTTTAATTATCCTAATTCTCTGCGGGGAATAGTTTCATTTTTGTAAGCAGCTTTATATCCATTTTGAAAGTCAGAATGTATGTGTGTGTGTGTGTGTGTGTGTGTGTGTGTGTGTGAAAGAGAGAGAGACAGAGACAGAGAGAGAGAGAACTGTTTGATTTTCACAATAAGTTGCTAAGTTTATCAAACAAATTAATGAAAATTAAATTCAACAAACATTTATTCATCATTTACTATAGGTGATGGTTAAAAACTGAGTTCTGATCATTCTTCTGAGAAATTCCTGAAGGAAGCGCTGGGCATGAGAATCAGTATCTGTGGCCCTGCTTTCCACAGCAGACCTCATTTTTACCGGTTGATAAAATCTAGTAACTCAGACATCAAGCAGGTGCTATCTTTCTTCTGAACTTAGGGCTCTATGTTTCTAAATGATATTGAGGTTATAAATGTGGCAAGTGAGACTTGTCAGGGTGAGGGTGAAAGCAGCTGGTAAAATTTAATAAACAGCTGTCCACAGAAAAAAAAAATCTATGCATGACATGCTTTTAAATTTACTCTTCATTATTAACAGTTTCTCCATCATTTTTCTTAAGTCTGGAAATTTAACAAAACAAATAAAGCCTTGATTTGTAGCATTTGCTGATTTCTAAGATTCAAATGCTCTTGCTAAACATTTAACGATAGACTTTCCAAAGCTGATTTGAGATAGCTCTGGCACACCCCTGGGTGCCCTAGACTTGGAATCAAAAGACCTTAGGTCAGATTAACTGCTCAGCCACTTATTAACTGTGTGACCTTATCCTTGGAGTGATTCAGTGGGCAGGCAGCTAGCATTTATTAAGAGACTTCTGGGTACCAGGTCCTATGCAAAGTACTGGTGATAGGAAAAAAACCTGTCCCTACTCTCTGGAATACCTGGGTTCAAATTCTACTTCAGATGCTATCTCTATGATGCCAATCAAATCAGTTAAACTCTGTGTACCTCAGTTTCTTCATCTGTAAAATGAGTGGGCTGGATTTCATCTACTTTGAATCTATGAACTTATTAACCTCTCTGGGCCCCATTTTCCTCATCCATAAAAAGTAGAGGATCAATAGAAGTCTCTACCTCTAAGACCCTATTTTCCTAAATGTTAGAAACAGATCAGAATTTTTGCATGAATAAACAAATTAAGGTTTTTTAAAAAATTATCAAGAATAGTAGCATGACTAGAAGGCCAAAACATTCTTGATAATTAATAAACGGAAGAGCCTGGAGTTTCCACCACATATGGTGTGCAAGAAGGATTTGAAATGAAGTTTTCGTTTCTGAGCTCAGTAGTGCTCCCAGCTTGAATTCAAATAGATTCCCGTGGGAGAAGATGTGTGAGTTGTGATGAGTTGTGATGAGCTGTGATGGCTTGTGATGAGTTGTGATGGGAAAGAAGGACCTAACAGAGGCAGAGTACAGGAGCAAGTGTTCCAAGAGGAAAGACCAGGATTCTTGCTTCCTGGATCAGCCTTGGCTTTCAGAAAATTACCCTGTGAAGGGGGAGGTGGGGACCTATGTTTGACAGAGGCTCCCTGGGCTACCTATGTTTCTTCATTGAGAAGAATCTTGGGCATCGGTTTTCCCAGAAGATGGAGTCACCTCCTTCCTCTTAAATGTACATGTCCTGCTCAGCAGCCACTGGATTTCCTGGAATTTTTATTAATGGTTCCAGATATCCCAGCAATAATTTTCTGACACCATAGCCTCTGCTCACCAATTCTAATAAGGTTTCACTTTTTTTTTCGTCTGTCAATGTCTTCCTCATGAATGTGATTCAGGCTGAAATTAATCACTGATCATGTTAATGGTTCCTACGAGTTTACTTGCAATACCCCTTCTTGTATTAAATCAAACTCGATAGCATGTTAGATCATTGCGCAGCTAAGTTTCCATAAAACTGCTGGCCTTTAAAAATGATTTATCTCCAATTTTCTGATAAGATCTTTACTTATTGTATGTTTCATTTTTTTAACTGGCATTTTTAGTAAATGAGGATGCTTTTAAAACTATCAGACATATAAAAAATATGTTGTACAGGAAACATTTGACAATAAGGAGTGTCATGTGCTGTATATTATGGTCATATAAGTGAATGTGAATAATTTTATTCAATTTTTATACAGACAAAATACTAGCATTTTACTTGCCTGTTCAGTAGGAATGGATGTATTTGTATTTTTGCCTATTTTCAAAATATAAATTTTTAAAAACGTGATGATAGAAAATTGAAGGATCTTTTGATTTCATTACTTTTTAGCTTTGCAGTAAAGGAGCAGCTCTGGGAAAACCTTTTGAAGCATCTGCTGAAGATATTTCAAGTGTTGCTAGTTTTATTGAGACAAAGCTTGTCACCTGTTATCTACGGATGAGGAAACCCGACCTTGCCTTGAATCATGCTCACAGGTAAGAAAGAACGTGTATCTAAAAGTCATTACTGCAAAGATGAGAGATAGATAAGTGGACTAGGGACATGATGAGGCTGTTCCCCTAGGCAAAGATGGAAAATAGTCAAAGTTTGTCTCCATTTCCCCTCCATTACTTCTTTGAATAATCCCTGTTACCACTCAGAGCCCTGATCATCATCTTGGCCCCTAACAGGCTGCCTCCAGGACTTTGTCTATTTCCTCCACCAATCAAAACTTACTTATCCACAGTTTCTCATCCCCTCCAATCATTGCTCTCAGGTTTGATGAGTTATGATGAGTGTTAGATGAATTCCTCATTAAAAACTAGCCTATTGAGTTGGATAATCTGGATACAATGCCTTTCAGATAATGTTATCTGAAGCCAATTACAAAGCATATTAACTGCAGATTTCCTTTGGAAAATGTTGAAGACTTCCTAGAAGTAGGAAATTGACACTGTGATGAGGGAGAAATGTTTGGAAAGAAAAATACTTTTAAAGCCCTCAAGTGGCTATCTACTATTGTTGTGGCTAGGTCTATGTAAATTTTTTTTATCAACTTGATTATTTTTTGCCCCCCAAAAAATCTCCCTTTTTTCCCCCAAAGATTTTACTACTGTTGTTTTGTTTGTTTATTTTCCCAGACATTTTACTGCTATTGCTTTTATTCATTCCTTGGTATGCTTTGTTCTCACCAATCAATACATCATCCTCAGGTAGAAGATTCTCTTTTTTGTGGGCATTTTATTAGTCAGCCAGTCAAGAAATATTTATTCAGCTCCTACTATGTACATTCACTGTGCTAAGCACTAGGAATGCAAAGAAAGGCAGAAAACATTCCCTGCTCTCAAGGGGCTCTCAATCTAATGGAAGACACAACATGCAAACAAATATGTGCAAACATGCTAAAATTTCAATGATCAACAAAGGGAGAACAGTAGATTATAGAGGGATTAGGAAAGGCTTCTTGTAGGAGGTGAAATTTTAGCTGGGACTTGTAGGAAGACAGTGGGTAGAGATGAGGAGAGAGACCATTCTAGGCATGGGAGGCAGCCAGAGAAAAAGCCCTGTTGGGAGATGGAGTGCCTTGTTTCAGATCACTTATGTAATATTCACCATACTAGGAACCATTAAGTTTGAAAAACTGACTGATCCAACTCATTTAAAAGGCCGAATTCAGTCACACAACTGTCATTTAGATCTATGTTTTGGTTTCACGTGTATATATATATATATATATATATATACACACACACACACACACACACACACACACACACACACACACACACACACATATACTATATCTATATCTATCTATCTATATCTACATAGATATAAATAGATGGAGATAGATAGATATAGAGATAGAGATTTAGATATTAGTTCAGTCAGTTGAACTAAATTAAATTGTCCAGTCAGTTGAACTAAATTGTCCAGGCTTCATTTTGGTGTTCTAGAACCAACTCTGCTCTTGGGATGACCCTTCTTTATCTTGACCACCACTTTCTGAGGGTCTGAGCATCTCTTAGCTCCATCAGAAGTCAACCAGTTTGCCTTTCCTTCAAATAGCCCTTACCTGAAAATAGACAAAGTACATAATACTGACCACTCTTCTCCCTAGGGTTACAACTTAACCTAATTCCCTGTTCTCCTCTCTCCTTCTTTCTCTCTCTCTCTTACCACCTTTCCAAGGTAATAACTCCAATAAAAGGACCTGTCTATGACATAGATTTTACTGTCCCTACTTAATCTACCTTTAAGTGAAGCCCCTACATTAATTGCCTCCCAAACCTCCATCCTTGGATACATTCCTTCTTTGAGTTCATATTCTCCCCTGGAACATCCCTTCCGTGGAAATTATAACACTAGGGTGATCGGCTCCATGAGAACATGCCCAAAACTGATCAATCACTCAATAAATATTTATTAAGCTCATGCTGTTTGTCCAGCAGTGGGGATACAAAGACAAAAAGCAAATAGACCCTGGCCTCAAGAAGCTTGCATTCTATCCAGAGAGACAGTGTATTTACATATATATGTGATATATGTGTGTATATTACGTATATGATATATATAATATATAAATGCAGGTAATATATAATCATTCATGTTTATGTTTTAATGATATAAACGCATGCATTCATTTATTTTAAATAGATGAACATACAGAGACAAAAAGCAAATAGACCCTGTGCTCAAGAAGCTTGCATTCTATCCAGAGAGACAGCATATTACATATATGTGTATGATATGTGTATATGTCATATATAATATATAAATATGTAATGTATAGACATGTATGTATGTTTAATTATATAAACATACATGTTTATATGTATTAAATATATAAACAAATGTTTAAATATTTAAATATATTAATATATACTATCTAAATATGTGTTGTATGTGTAATATGTAATTATATAGAAATGTGTTACCTATATGTAAATATTCTACATGATTATATAACTGTATATCTAATATATATGTAATGGGGTGGTGAAGCGGGAGAGCAGTAGAGAGTAGGGGGAGGGAGACATAAAAATTATTATGTGTCGTTTGATCTGAGCCTTGAAGAAAACTGGAGCATTGGAGGCTCAGAGTTGAAGAGGGAGTACGTCCCGGGATGGGGAGCTAGTCTGTGCAAAGGTCCAGAAAAGGGAATGTTTTGAATGAGAAACATCAAGAAGACCAGTATGGTTGGTTTGTGTAAAGGTAAATAACTTAAAATAAGGGTAGAAAGATTAGTTGGAGCCAAGTTGTGAAGGATTTCAGTGCCAAACAAATATGGCGGGCCCTTTCCCTTGAAGACAGATTTCTGTCTGATGATGCCTTTTTATCTATGAACCATTGAACAGATGAAGAAGAAAATCACTCATTTGCTTATTATACTCCAGGTAGCATGTAGTAACTACTGTATCATTATCCTTTTTGGCCTAATATTTCTCCACCTTCCCTGGAATTTTGGCTCTAGTTCCACCTGCCCATTTTGCCTCAAGAATAGGTCCTCCCTCCAAATGGAAGAAGATACTCTTGAAACACTGTCTGATGAACTACTCCCTAGTCCATTGTCCTGCCTCCCTTCCTAGTTCTTTGTTTGAATAACAATCGCCTACAACTTATAACAATATGAAAACCTAACACCTGCTTTGCTAATAGCCTCAGGGAAACATAATTATCTGTCACATTAAGGCTCATTATGTAAATGGGCTCTCTGCCAACCCACCACAAGTAGCTTACAACCCTACAGCCACCTAGCTGGGCCACCAAGCTAAGAAAAACCCAAGCAAGGTGTCTTGACTACCATAAAGAAAATTTGAAGTGGCTTTTAAGTTGGTGCCAATGACATCCAGGCTGTAAAGTTAGCTTGACATCAGTTGCATTACTTGTACAAAAATATATGCAAGATATCTTTCTCTAATGGAATTTCTTCTAGGAAGCAAGCCACAGATCTTGTTAGGGATATCCCTTTTGATGTGTTGAGTAACAACTGATCTGCTCTTCCTGGAGGCAGCCATTTGTTCCAATATGCTTGGCTACAGGTTTCCCCTTGAGTTGTGAAGAAAATGCCAAAATAGGCTCTTTGCCCATAGGATATATGAAACTATCTTTCCCATCTATTAGAAGTTATTTGGCAGGAGTATAGTTCAGGTTGGTAGCTAAGTGGCATGGTAGGCGAAGTGTGGGACTTAGAGTAAGGAAGACCTGAGTTCAAATCCTGCCTCTGACACTTAATAGACGTATCCTCTTAGCCAGTTGCTCAACCTCTCTATACCTCAGTTTCCTCATCTGTAAGATGAGGGTGTTGGACTCAATGATCTCTAAGGTCCCTTCCAGCTCTAAATCTGTATGTTCCTCCAATTCTTCTTGACCATGGAGACAATCATTCTGACACTCTCCATCGATGTGTTTTATGTTTTATGGCCAGTAGTCTAGAAGGACATTATTACAGTATAAATAGGGTCTTATGATGTTTCAATCTCACTGGCAAGACAATACCCTTCCTATATGTATGACAATGCAACTCATCTTGTGAGATTCTTTTCTATTTTTTTCCATAAATTCTCCATGAATGACCCCCACCTACCCACCCCAAAAGCTTGGAGGCCTTCTTGCAGTTTCAAAACATTCTTGGAGACCTAGTGCAGGCCTAGGGCTTTCTGTGACTACCTCTTGCTGTCACTACATGACCACTTTTTTCCAGTCATATGTCTTGATCATTAATGTTATCATGAACAAGTTGTCATTATGTATTGCACGGCTGCTAATACACACCATGGATCTTGCCTTGCCTTTTGAGTCCCCCACAATTTTGAGTTCTTCTGATATCATGGTACTCCCTGAATGACAGCACCATAGAATCCTAGGGAGGATATTTCAGTTTAAAAGACAAGTTTTTCCTGGGAAGACTTACATAAACTGATGCTAAGCAGAACCAGAAGAACAGTGTACACAGTAACAGCAACATTGTGTTATGATCGACTTTGTTAGACTCAGCTCTTCTGAGCCATGCAAGGATCTAAGACAATTCCAAAAGACTCATGATGGAAAATGCCATCCACATCCAGAAAAAGAACAATGGAGTCTGAATGCTGATCAAAGCATACTATTTTCTCTGTGTTTTGTTTCTTCTTTCTCGTGGTTATTCCCTTTGGTTCTAATCCTTCTTTACAACATGACTAATGTGGAAATGTTTTTAATGTGATTGTAAATCTATAACCTATATCAGTTTGCATGCTGTCTTGAGGAGGGGGAGATGAGAAGGAGGAGGAGAAAATTTAGAACTCAAAATCTTACAGAAGTGAATGTTGAAAACTAAAAATAAATTAATTTTTAAAAAATAAAACACAAGTTTTCACAATAGTAAGTGGCTCAGGATCGTTGAAGGCACCAGTTATTTTTCCATACATACCCAACCTATTCAGTTGAAGAAGGGACCCACCTCCCTCACTACCATCACCACTAGCCAATGACCAACTGCATCTGATGGGAAGATAACTCTGAGAGTCCTGTGATTGAGAGTACCACCACCACTGATGCTTGCTTCTTAGAAGTAACCCATGGGGACAGGTGATCTGACAGCCTCTTCTGTGGACACTTCAGAAGCCGCAACTCCTGAAGTCCCAGAGAATAAATTCTCACCACCCAAGTCCTTGGCCTTGTCAAATGGATCAGATATGATTTGATCATGGGAAATGAAACTAAAGAAGACACAGTAACCTCTTCTTTGCTGCTGCAGCCTGAAGACTGTGATGCCTTCCCAATGGACTTTTCATCTGAAACTTCTAATGTGGGTTGTCTCCCTCATTAGAGTATGAGCTCCTTGAGGTCAGGGGTGGTCTTGCCTTTCTGTTTGTATCCTCAGTACTTTGCACAGTGTTTGGCACTTAATTTGCTTTTGGTACTTACAGATGCTTTTTTTTCCAATTCATTTCTTCATTCCTCTTCCTATTCAGTTCAGGTGCCAGATCATTATCAGTGTTCTGTGACTATCAGATAAGCACTGAGGTATTTACTGCTTTTTTTTATCCACTCCGTTGTTGGGTTTTTTTCTTTTATGTTTCATCATGTTTCAAGGTCATGATGATGATGATGATGATGATGATGATGATGATGATGACGATGACGATGATGAGCATTTATATAGTGTTTAAGGTTTGTAAAGTGTTTTCCAAATATTTTTATCCATTGTGATGCATAGCTGACCTTGAAG